TCATGTTTACTCCACCGTTACGTCACGAGAGCAGTAGACACACGATCTTCAAAAGGCGTCGAACAGCAAGAGACGGCCTAGGCACTATTTCAAGATCCCCTACAACGGGTATTTTTCAGGTGTTGCACAACCAAGGGTGCGCAAACCAGTACCGGATCCAGACTTTGAGATAAGGGGGGTGGGGGAGGGGGGCAGTAATCCAGACCCTCAGCAGTTTAGTCTAAAAATAAGGGCCCCCCGGGGCCCTTCCCAGGATCCGCCGCTGCAAACTCTTCAACGGATTCTGTAAACCCATTGACATTAAGTTTGTTTACTGTACTTTTAAAATTAACAACTTATTCAACGTGAAAGATCCTTTCCCAGACAGGCTTCGAACGCGTATCGCGTACGAATTTTTCGTGGGAAAGCTGTGCACGTAATACTTGTAACGTTGGCGAAACAAGCCGACATGAGCACTTGTCATCGGACAAATCTTCTCACGTAAGCATTTACAGGCTACAGAGTCTTGTCGTACCTCCTGTAACTTAGACTGCTTTAAGGTAATTCCCGTGAAATTGTTCTACGATCAAACTTAGAAATTTGATTATTTCTTTACGCTTCTTAAAAAGGAAAAAAACTCTGTCTGATCATGAAGCTGACTCGCATAAATTCGGGAAGAAATCTCGACCAAAAATCTGTACAATGAATTTCAAAATTGACGCACCATAACTAAAAGAAAATTTACATTTGTTAGTGCAACGTTCGGTGCACGAAATTAGATTAAGACCTACATCTTTTTTTTTTAATACGGTGTAATTTAGTTTTTTTTTTTTTTATGATGTATTTTTAGTTTTTATATGATGTATATAGTTTTCTTATTGCTTTTGTTTATAGTTTTTAGGTATCTTAGATGTAACGCGCATTTGATCATATTCGAATGTTAATTTGCGCGCTATAAGCAATAATAATAATAACATCTACTGACTCTGCAAGCGGCTTTCAGTCGTAGACTACTGTCAATGAGGAGATGAGTTGCTTATTACGGTACATTTTAATAAAATGACAAAGTGCACGCCCGGGAGGTAAAAAAACTTTGTAAATTTTAAACGCGTTCTAATGACAAGTGCGATACTTTAAATTAGAGCAGGACATTATGTCACAAATTCTATAATTTTAAGGGCTGAAGTTGCCAATCAACATAACAAACTGGCAAAAATAAGGTTATCAATATCTAATTTTACCAAGGTAGCAACGTGGCTGTCAATCAACTAAAAATACGGGAAACTTCTTTGAGTTTGCACTGCTTTCTGACTTGAAACTGTTATCAAAGTGAAAAAATCTATCCTTACTTTTGACACAAAAAAGCCAGCCAAGCACTCATAGTTTGGTCTGGGGCTGGGCTCTCTGCTGACACCCAGCAAGGCGCCAAGCTCTGTTCGGCTACAGGGCTTGTATCAAATTCAGTCAGATATTTAGTGCTTATCTGGGCTCGGTGGTGAATTTAATTGCCCTGGAATGCAATTTCAACTTCCTGGGCTAGCAAATGTTGTATATTATCAAGAGTTATTAAGTACTACCCTCTCTGAATAAAATAAGTTATTATCATTATTATTATTATTATTATTATTATTATTATTATTATTATTATTAATATTATTATTATTATTATTATTATTATTATTATTATTATTATTATTAGAATGATATTGTTATTCAGTTATAATGAGTGATACGTGTATCATCTGTAACGAGCCAGTATAAGCTGCGCTGTGACTTATTTAGTATTTTTGGCAGGATATCATCAACTGTATCTTCCTAAAAATGTCATTAATCCAAATATGATGATTATCAAATGAGGCAAAAGATGATAAGCATTGTACAATCTGACTGTATTATTATTCACATCAATTTAATTTTTGTGACTCTTTAAGAACGGAATTTGATTCTATCAAACCTTACATTTACAGAGTACAGCGTACCGTCACATTCGAGGATTATAGGCTTAGGGTGGATTTCCACTGTTGCGTATGTATAAAGCTAAAGCCCGGTCTCCATATGATCGCTACGATCGCTGCGATCGCTGAGAAAAACAATGTTCAGCGATCGCAGCGATCACAGTGATCATATGGAAACCACTCTCCAGCAATCGCAGCTATAACAGCGATCGCAGCGACAACGATCGCTGAGATAGAAAAAGTTCTTTCTCAGGGATCGTTGTCGTTTACGCACGACCTTTCATGCCTTGCCTCTATTTTATTTTCGCGCGAACGCACGTTAAAATTACACGGAAGTGGAAATCGATCTACCCTAGGCACAATAGTGGGTGATGAGTCCTGCGACGACCATCGTGGGTCGTGCGTCTCGCGTGAGTCGTGTGACTTCTAGGTGTTGTATTTTCATGCGGAAAAGTTTAGTTTAATACGCTATAGGGTATGAAATACCAGGCAACCAACCAAAGCCAATTTTACGCACCCAGATATTATTCTTATTCAAGCTGTATTTAACTCCTTTTGAACTCGCATTTTTATTCCTTGATAATGGCGTCATGATGTTGCCGAAACGTCGCAACATTAAATCGTTATTTTTTACATGCTTAAGTTGTATTTTGTTTTGCAATTGGTTAAATCAGAATTGTCTCCTGGTTAAATACGTTATTAACAGCTATAAATTAATGGTGTTGATTATGCTTGGTGTGCCGGGTGCACCTCAGCTGGAGTGGATATGTTACTAACAATGGTCATCAAGTGTGGTATATAAATTGCTAATACAAATATTTTAATAACCCGTTTCACAATCCTACATGAAATGCTAATTTGTGTACGTGCTGTGTGGAAGCACTCTTGTGAAACCAACCATGCGACAATTTCTACGGTGACTTCTATACTAAGCGGACACTCCGAGGACCCTAGTTAGTGCATCTGACAGGTGAGTTGACCAGAACGTACGCCGGAATTTCGCCATAAAGAGTCAGAAACCAAAACAAGCAAGAGAGGAGAACTGCACTTACGGTAGGTGGGTTTCCTAAGTTTTCCATCTATGGCTAGAAACACATCCGCATAATTTTTGCAACTTAATTTGGCGGGAAAAGAGCAAATGAAGCACCTACACCGCATGCGCAGGTTTCGGTTCACAGGACATTCATTTTTTTACAAAAAGAAACGCTACTCTATTGTCTTAGAATAATAGGCTAGCTTCAACCTGTCAAAATAGTCTAAGCAATTAGTCTATTATAATAGATTATACACCCTTTGTCGAATCTTTTAGTTAATTGGTGTGAGTCCATACAGCCAAATCAGTTCGTCACTTGAACTTGTGGTGGAAACATCATTTAAGGTCCCAAGAGGTGAGCCTATTATTACGATTTTGAATTGACAAAGATAAGTTATTGTTGCCTCGTTATTGCATGTGTTCTCAAATTAACTCAAAGAATGTTATGTTGATGGGATCTAATCCTTTGCACAGTCTTCTGTCTTATTTTTTGATTCATGATCGAAAATTAGCTCGGTCTGAAAAAGCGCGCGGGCTTCGCTGAGAACCGCTCGCGCAAAAATTTTACCTCTTTCCCTAGTTTTACACAATAACATTAGTACATAGTAAAATCGACCAAGTAACTTTTGAAAACTTGAGACTGACACAAAAAAAGGCTTCTTATTCTTTCAACCATTTTTAATGATCTTGTATCTGATAACTTCTCAGAAAAGCACTTTATCATAGCAGATAAGAAGACTATTTTAACTGGCTTAATTCTCACTGGAAGTGCAGCCAAAACTTTAAAACAAGTTGTTACTTTCTAAAATGAAAAAAATTCAGAATCCTCTTTGGAAACGTACATGTAAGTGCCATATCATTCCAGCTGCAATGTAAATGCCATTGTTTAAATCAAATAAAATTTTCATTGATACAATTGCAGAATTTACAGTTTCTTCTTTTTAACGATGTTCATTTTTACACAACTTCAGTTTTTTTTATAATGATTTTATATGAGGAATAAGCTGAACCACTAAATACTCTGAGCTATATATATTGTATTTTTTCTTCAGAAGAAAATAACCTATTTAAGAACCTAAATAGCCTAAACTTGTGATAACTGCCATTTATATTAAGAAGCTGTTTATGCTAACTTGAAAAAAAACCAGGTTTTTAGTCGCGGGGTTTCACAGTATTAATATTGCATTTAGTTGAGGATTAGGGTTGTTTACGAACAAGCGCTAAACTGAAATAATTAAAAATCATAAGTACTTGTTCAGTTAGGCCATCGTAATTTGATTGAAAATTAAACACAAACAACTGTGATAAACAAGGAAAACCAGTGCATTTTCACAATGAAATTTACTGTGACCTTACATGTACTGCTAGCGGCCTGGCGTAAGATAACCTACATTTGCATAGGTAACTGTTGCAGTGTTTCAAAACTGTGTGCTCAGTTTACCATGTCTGTCACCGCTGTTTGTGTTATTAATATTGTCTAACAAATTTTAGCCGCCAAAAAATGCAATGTAATGTTTCATGCTTGATGCTTGCAAACAAATGAGTCAGAATTGCGCGCAATGAATAAATTATCATAATTATCTACTGTACTACCGTATTTATTCGATTAACCGCCCTGGGCGCTTATTAAATTTTTGGACCTTGAGAGTGGGCGCTTATTCGAGGTGGGCGCTTATTCGAGGCTGGGCGCTTATTAAATTTTCACTATTTTCAGGAAGTGAAGTATGTTTATTTTGCAACAAAACAATAAATGCTAATAACAAAACGCGAAGAAGTAACAAAGAAAGGTTTCTGTATAATACTCTGAAGAAAGCTCCGTCCTCCGGGAAGTCTCTTATTAGAATTTATTCACTCAAGTGGGTGGGGTGGGGGTGAGCGCTTATTTGAGTTTGATTGGGAGGAGGAGGGGGTGGGCGCTTATTCGAGGCTGGGCGCTTATTAACTTTTTCTGCCTTTAGGATGGGCGCTTATTCGAGGTGGGCGCTAATTCGAGGTTGGGCGCTTATTCGAATAAATACGGTATTCCTTCAGGACCTGACCAAGCTCGCAAGCTCGTGTCTTTCAAAAAACCGGCCAAATCGTTAGATTTGAATTCGGAGTGGAAAAGTGGCCTGGAAATTAAAAGGTTTTTGGTTTTTTTCGAGAGATAATCGACCATTGTGTCTTTATTTCAACTTTTCCATTTTTTATCATCGCAAGCAAAACTAATAAATCTGCATGGCATGATTGTCATAATTAGACTTACTTGGTAATAATCACAACTGGACTTGCCGGAAATGAAGATGCTTTGCCAAATTTGAGCAGCAGAGTTCAAGGGTGAAATTGAAAGTGTCCACCGAGTCGCTATTCCCTAACAAAAAAGAGTTTGTCTGCTTTTCAAGTTGAAAAGCAGACCGTTTCAGTATCATTCCCATCGATAAATTAAATTTTTTGATGTTAATTCGTTATTAGAGATCTTCTTTCCCTCTAAAATTGTCTGTTAATGGTCTATCCGTTACGCTAAAAGAAAAATAATTCGTAGCTCGATTGTTTCCTAATTATCCTTTTTATGTTATTTTCTTTTCTTTTTTTTTTCATTCAACATCACCTGATAAAGTTTTCATTTCGTTTTATTTTCAAAACACCTTGAAATTGAGACTGAGAATTCAAAAAAAAGACTTAGACTCACTGACTTATTGTATGTTGCCTTTCATTTTTAGTAACTGCATTAAACAAAGAAGCTAACTCGCGGCTAAAGCGGCCTTTATATATAATTTCCTCTTGTTGTTTTTGGTTTTAATGGCTCGGTGGTTGGTAGAAAAATCCTGTGGTTGTTTTCTCGACGAATACTGAGAAAGGGAGCCGGAATCTCTAACTGAGAAAAAAAAACACACAGGTACTGCGTCTACTTGTGCTTTCTTGGTTCAGCCGTACCTTCCTATGCCGCTCTAAGCGTATGATCTACTACCTAGAGCCAAATGATTTATCATTGAATTGCTTTTGTTTTTGGGATAAGTTAACTGAATTAAAAATCACTTTAAACAGTCGATTCTTTTCATACATGTTTTAGATCCTTCTAGTCCTTTGTTTTGCTCTGGTTACACTATCACCATGAAGACCGCCTTTTCGTTTATGATGCTGACAATTTTGGCAATTATGATGACGTCAGTAATATCACGTGGCGTTTCGTCCCGTCGTGCCTATAGAGGTAAGTTACTCTTGCACTCTATTGTTCAAAGCGCTCAGAATTGTACGATATGTTAATGCCCTTATGGCATTTGAAAATAAAACTGTTTCTTACTAACATTACGACTTCATTAATTTGATAAAGACAGTATTTGAACGAAAATAATATAATACCCTTGGAACAAGCTTTCAGCTATAAAACACGTTTAGTAATTATTGCTTGCATCTTCCAAATATGGCAAGTGCCGGCTGGTTATGGAGAATTAGCTGGGGGATTGAAGCCAATCAGAAACGACGAAATATTTGAAAGAAATTTAATCATCAGTTTCATTTCTTCTTCCTTGGGCTTTTTTCTAAATTCTCCTTTCATTTTCTTTTCTCTCTTTCTGGGAGTGTTCATGGTTTGTTAGATACAAGTCAATGTGAAGATTGTTATTGATTTCTAGCTGGATTTTTAAAAAACGTTACTTTAAAATTGCGGCTCTTTCGTCCAAAGTAGCCAAAACTAAAACACTAAGATTACAATCATTGCTTTTTTTTCTCTTCTCCTCTCTTTTGTCTCCACGCTCCCTTTATCCAACATTTGACAAATTGAACGACATAGAATATGGTGGATGAATTTTGAAAAAGCGTGAATTCACTTTTTAAGAGACGTTTTCGCCAAAGTCGTCGTCTTTGTTGCGTAAACTCCTTTGAAAATAAAAGAAACGATTCCGTTAAATCAAATACAGTCCCATGGTTGAATTCGAACAGAACCAAACCAGTTTCTCGAACAACCTCACCAAAATGGCCACTCAAGGCTGCTAGCACCAGGCCCTTAGGATTGTATCGCGAGCAGATAGCTCCCTTCTGGGGTCGTTCGCTCACTTCGGTACCGCAAAGACTCGACTCGACTTCTTGCAGTCTGTCTTGACGGAGTAGCACTGAAAAATTACCTTGCTTACTTACGTCTTCACTTTACAATTTCAGAGCTTCGTGCAAGATACTTCAGAACAAAGGCTGAGTTTGACAGACCCGCCTACATGAATGAACCAGCCGAAGAATGCGGAAAGTGCTTTCCACAATGCTATCAGGTAGGGGACAACGGAGATCAGATTAAGACGTGTGCGTCAGAATGCCACTGTCCAAAGAAACGAAATGTGGACGTTTACTTTGACGAACCTTTTATGGACGCTAAGGATCCAGAATTTTGTGGAGAATGCTTTCCTCCTCCTGGCGGATGTTATCAGGATGGTGACAACACAGACCAGATAACCACCTGTCTTGATGAATGCAAGTGTGTTTAGTTCACCTAAGCCTAGCGCTCAGTGTCACGCCAGTTATTTTGTGACGGATGGTACGAAGAGAAGAAAAAAAACTGCATTCAGTAGTCTTAAAAATTATTATTTGTTTCTGATAATTAATCTGTGCCAACATTTAGATTAGGTATAAAGTGGTTCAAAGAATTCATGATGTGAACATGTGAAAGCAGTGAAATCCGCCTTGGCAGCCTTTTAAGTGAATTCTTGTTATTTTCCTGACATGTCGTCACATTCTAGTACAGAAAATACAAACGCGTCCACCCTATTAAGCTTAGGACGACCTCCTTTCTAATTTTCCGTATTGCCATCTCCGTAGGGCCCTTTCTCTGAACAGAGCTTGGGATGTTTGAATTTTTTAAAAAGCTTTTGGGTTGAACCAAATTAAAAAGGCGATCGGGAAGGCTGTCACGTAGGTAAAGAAGATGACTTTGTCGTTTTCATCGGAAGGCGATACGGAAATTTTAGGAAGGGAAAATCAGGTGCACGCAAGAACGCGACTGAAGGTACTGGGCAACGACTTGCTGTGATCAGGCTTTCATTGCGGAAGTGAAAAGTCACTTGTTTCAGACAATTGTATCTTCTATACGCTAAATATGACATGTATGTAGGTGTCGCGCCAATCAGCGATGCTTTGTTTTGGAAAATTGGGCAGATTTAAACCGCTATAGTCTGAAATGGGGCAAGAATTGTTTCCTATGTCTAGAAATGAGATGCGGATTTTGGAGCAATCTCTAGAAAATTCAAGGTAGAGAGGGAAGGAGGAAACCAATAAGGCTTATCCATATTGGAACTATTTGGGTGACGTATAACCACTCAAGTCAGCATCAGGAACGTACTCGTTTGGACCTTAGACTATGTAGAATTAATTGGTTCAATGGTTTAATTTAGATTTTTTTTTAAGACAATTAAAACCAGCACATTTTTCTATCATGTTTGCTGTGAAAAAATTTTGTTGCAATGCTAATTTTGTTTTGTGATACCAGTATATTGTACACGTATATTTACATTTAACGCATGTAAACTGCGATCAGGGAGCTTTGCAGTGATCCATTTCGAAGTGCTGAAACGCAGTGAACTTGCTGCAACCCGTTTTCAACAATATTAAAAAGTGCAGCAACATTTTGAATTTATTGACTCTTGTATTGTAACACTTCTAATCGATTGTATTCCTTTCTCTGGTAAGCCTAAACTTGCACTGGCTATATTCACTGACTATGAATCACTTGATAGCGGACATTCTTACGGCCATCCATGTCATGGACAACTGACAGCTGTCAGAAAGGGTATCCACTGACCAGTCACCTGACTATATTGCGGGCTTAAGTGTACAACTCTTGGTGATGTGTTGTTTTAACGTTATCTTTTGGCTATAATGAAAAGGCCATATTATAAATAACTAGTTAACCTCGTCCGTTCCGTCATTACAGGGAAATCTCAGTCTGAGATTTCACTCTCAGTTAATGATATAATGTGATAACATTATGATCTACATACTAAGATTACCATTTAGTTGATGAGGGGGATCATTTTGAAGAAAAACATTCCTTCAAAAAATTGCCGTTTTTTTTTTTTTCAACAAAACCTCCTCAACGCTCAGGAATTATAGAAGAATAGAATACGCCTCCTTAACGGTTTTACGTCAGAGCGATTTTCGTATGACCTTGACATGAAAAGGCCCGAACAAAACAGAAACAACAAACGAACGAAAAAAGAGCGATTTGATTGGTTTATCGAACTGATACAAACGCGCATGGTTTTTGGTTGGTTAAGAGAACGCTCTGGTGAAAAAACTTCATGCTCGAGAACTTTCTAGAAATCAACCGATACTTCGCTTTGACGTCATACTGCAACACGACTGGCCAATCGAACAATACCCTCTCCAAATTAATAGTGTTTTCTTTGGCGGGAAAACGAAGAGGGCATGTTTTGATCTTTTCATCTATTTGCTGATAAAACAAATAACGAACACTTACCGAAACCATTTTTCAAGGTCATACGAAAATCGCTCTATCTTTGCCTTTCCAGCAAAATAAAGGAGGAGAAACAACGGGATATACTTTTACTAGCACATTCGCCAACTAAACCACAGTGCTGTCGGCATTATAACTTAATCTGAGCTCCCTACACCACACTGGTATCGGCCGAGTCTCAGCTTATTCAAGTTTCTGTCTATTCGGACTCTATTCGCAATTTAGACATAACTACAAGTGATTAATTCCACCCGCAGAGGCGCTTGGGAAGGAGGGAGAATTTCCCTTCTCTTCAAACCGCGTAGACACGCTAAAAAACTATTGAAGCAATCACAGCGCAAATAAGAGAAGCAACTGGGTACGAACGAGACTGGTTCTACACTCAGTATAGAGCACAGAATGCTCCAGTTTCATTGTACAACAAAAACAACAACGACAATTTTATTAATTACAATTTATTTCCATCGTAATTAGATTGCCCCAAAATAGCTACAAAAGCTACAATTTAGTCAGCAAAACCGCCATATAAGGTAATAAAGTAAACCTCTAACATGTTATTTAATTTTGAACAGACTCTTTCGATTCCCTGTCACTTTTCTACTTATTTCGTATTTATTATAATCTTTTGGGAATTAATCACAGATATACGGTTTGATGTCAGACAAGTTCACTTTAAACCTTTCTCAGGAGTCACTGAATGCGAGCAGGGGCTCCATCTCGATCCGGCAGAGGATTCAATGCCAACACAGGTAGAATGCCGGAAGCATCACAGGTGTACGGGCCTAAGGACCTATCGGTCAATTCTGGTCCACCAATTGTAATTCCAAGACGTCTGCGATCATCGGTCAAGAAGACATTCCTGTTATTGCCCTATAGCCCCTGACCTATGCCGATCCCGTGTTTTGCCTGAACCCAAGAGCTATTGTCTGTTTTAATCCAAGCCGGTCCGTACAAGCCCTGTCGTCGACGTCCAGTATGTGTCCAATCCTCAAGAAATGAGTAAAGGCCGTAGTTTGCCGCCCAGGGACGCACTTTGAAGGAAGCCAGCAAACGCCAGATATCCAAGTCAGGAATACGAAACCATCCTGTAAATATGACCTTTTCGCTTTCTTCTGCGTCTGGTCTAACGTTGACCTTGAGTTGATATGTTTGACCCGCCTTCCAGTCATAGACAAGGTGAATTTGACCCCCAGTACCTTCTCCAGCAAAGCGTTGAACGGTCACGTTTTCGCCTTGAGCAAGCAGTTTCACTAAGTCCTCAGACGGCGCATTAGGATTAACATCTGTGAAGGCCTTGTCCCATAGCAAGAAGATTACCGGCCATTTAGGTGAGCTATCCTGGATGCCCATGTAGCCTTGAGAAGATATTCCATTGGTACAGAAAGTAAGAACGATATGCTGACTGCTTAACTGTTTCCTTATTGTCGAACCAGGTAACTCGGTCACTCCGAACGTCTGGCTGCGGATTGGCTGGGGATGACCACCAAATAGTCGTGTAGGGGGCCTTGAACGCTGGCACCCATCGATGTTCAGATGATAGGTACACTTCACTGACCTCCAAGTATGGGCTCCAGTCAGCTTCATACGGGACATCAGCATCAGAGATAGACGAAATCATTCTCGAGAAAACACCATGAAGAACATTTTGCAGGTCGCTTGTTAAAGTGATGGTCCAGTTGTCTCCATCATAGTACATCATTCGACCTTTGCTCTGACACACCCAGATGGGTTTAGCTCGAACTCTGTTGGCTGAGGGAGTATTCTCCTGCTTCTTGCGCGAAGATACTGCCCCGAACCAAAATGAGTCGCAGCTTGGATACAAGGCGACGTTTTATCTGTCTGATGTAGCTCTGTAAAGAGTAATGTGACAATAAAACTTCATTTCAAATGAAACACATCTAGTATGTGCTTTTGCTTTTCTAATTTAGTGGATACTGATATTATAAAAGTATTTTATTTTTTTCGTATTTACAAGTATATATAAAACCCTTACTAAATTAAAAAAAATAAAAACGCTAATAAGATATACTTTGGAACAAAACATTTTAATAGCGTTTAAACAGGTAAAAATCGCTTTAAAATTACAGTTGACTCCCGATAACTCGAACCCTCGCTAACTCGAACCAAAATCGATTTCCCCTGGATTTTCTTCATACATTCACTGCAATTTTACCCTCGGTAACTCGAATCCTCGATAACTCGAACCGCTAACTCGCGTCGAAGTAATTTTTGTTTCCCCTCAGATCATTTCTATATAATTTTACCCTCGATAACTCGAACCATGTTTTGAGCGCTTGAAAAGTCGGGGAAAAACCGTTCACTGGCGTCCGAAACACTGAATTTTGAAGTCCCATTGACGAGTTGTAGACATATAGTTTACTAGTGGAGGCTGATGTTTGTCAAAAATCTAACGTGAAGAGCTGTATAATAATAATAATAATAATAATAATCTTTACTGAGGATATCAATAACTTTACTTCTCACGACCGTAAAACACATGCTCTAATTAGAGTTATTTAGTATGTTTTGTTACGTTACGTTGTGATTTATAACCTAAATGTATCTTTCAATTTTCACTTAACATTTCTACAATAAAATGTCATTAAAATGTTCACTGTACAGTAAAAACTGTTTCTTACCTTACTCTGGCTATTTTCTTCGAGCTCCCGATAACTCGAACTTTTTTCGATTTCCCTTGAAGGTTCGAGTTAACGGGAGTCGACTGTAGTCGATTCTTGTATTTTAAACCTTTTTTTCTAAATACGTTTATTATTGTCATTGCAAAATTGTCAGTGGCTTTCACAATGACGAACAGAATTTGTTTACTATTTTGCGCAAGAATCTCTATCCCGAGCATGTATTAGACAGTCATGTTTACTCCACCGTTACGTCACGAGAGCAGTAGACACACGATCTTCAAAAGGTGTCGAACAGCAAGAGACGCCTAGGCACTATTTCAAGATCCCCTACAACGGGCATTTTTCAGGTGTTGCACAACCAAGGGTGCGCAAACCA